CTTTTGATCCTTGTAAAAATTCTCAGAATATCAAGTTTAGTACAGTTAAAGAAAATAATCCAGCAATCAAAGATGACCCACAATTAGGCCCCTGCTTTGGTAAACAAGATATTCATATGACTGATGATTTTAACAAACGTGGAAATTGCACCTCCCAATCTTCAAGTTTCGAAAATATTATATCAGCAAAAAATTTTTCTATTATTGAATATGAAGTTTTTCAAGTTGTTTATAAAAGAAATAATGAAAATAGATGGATTGCATTTATGAATCCTAAATATTTTAAAAATGATAAGTATATTGGACCGGTTTATGAATAATATAATATTTGTGATTGTAAAATATTATTTTATAATGCCAGTTAATTAAAAAAAAAGAATTAACAAAGACAAATATATCGATTTTGTTTATAATATAGTAAAATTCAACTATTAGTTGTCAAATTCATTACTAATTCAACTTTGGACAATTAATTTATTATATAGAAATACAGATCGCTATTTGATTAGCTAAAACTTAACATTTGCATTTTCACAATAAACTTTCATCACATCGTTACAAGGAACAATCCAATTAATTTTTAATTAATTGCAATGATTATGCAACATATCTTAATCACTCTCAAATCGCATAAAAGGAGCTGCCCTTAATACTGGATTGAGGAAATTCCTATTTTAATGCAAATTACAAGCGATAATTTTGTAGAATATGACCTACTTACTGATATATTTTATATATGACGAAAAATTTATCATTTACTGTATATATAGTGAAAGGAAACTTTTTCTACTTTCTAACATTGTAAAATACTAATTGGTTCGTTTGAAATGATAAACTTGTTTAAATGATGTATATACCGAATATTGCATTTCGATTAGATATTTTTCGGATATTGCATTTCGATTAGATATTTTTCGGGCTTAAAAGCACGCGACATATTATTCGAAACAAGCATCCATGATGATAAAGAAGTAATAAAATAATATACAATAAATAAATATAATTAAGGTGTAATAAATATTGAACATATAACTTTTTGTTAAGCGTTAGTACAAGTGACGTATACATACCAATAGAGATAAAAGTTGAGCGATATAAGACGTACATACGTATGTATGATTTTTTGGGGGAGAAATTACTAATTTCTCATAGTCTTACTTAAACATATCAACCCTGCCTTTCATCGGACGAAATAAATTTCATAAGACTTTGACACTTTCGATTCAACCAAATAACAGCATGCATGTTAAGCACATATAAGAACTGGAGATAAGGCGTGATGACTAATAAGTATTTTTTTGATCGTCTGGTATAGAGATGTTATGTTGTCTATGAACTCAGTTCGGAAGTAGTCTATTCCTGAAAAATCATTGCATTATGGTCCAATTAATGGTACGTAACTGACCTGATAATACCTAGAACACGAATAAATTACATAATAATTAATGAATAAATTACATAATAATTAATGTTACCATATAATAGCATTTAAACTATGGAAAAGTTAATTGCCGCGTACGTGATATTGTCGGGTTTGGGTCAAAATCCCGACAAACAGAATCCCGACAGGTCATAATCCCGACAAAAAAATCCCGACAGCTAAAAA